TTCAAGAGTTTAGCAATCCCTCCTAATCCCCGGTTTAGAACGATCCCTACTTACATCTTTACTACAATTTGACAAAAGAGGGTTTAATTTGTGTGTTTAGTTATTTTACGCATCAACCTTGCCCGGAGTTCGTAAAAATCAACGTGGGACGCCAGTAGGGTGGCGACAACGACATCTGGTTTTGCAGGTGTGGTGGCACGAGATTCGAATGGAAGGTTCCTGGCAGCTTGCAAATACAACATCAAGGCTCCATGTGCGGCAATGGTTGAGGCATTGGTTATTCTACATGGATGTGAGTTGGGTATCTCCTTAGGATGGACTTCAATTATCATTGAGTCCGACTTGTCAGAATTAATTTCTTGCCTTAGAAATACGCTAACAAAAATGGGAGTCTTTCCAAGACTATCGCTGGTCTAGGATCCCAAGATCAGCCAATATGGCGGAGCTGACCAATTGGCGTCGCATCGATGTAGGGAGATGTGCGACTTCATTTGGATCAATCGACCTCCATCCTCCCTTGCTCATGTCCTATGTAATGATGGGCTACCTTGCCCCCCTTAGGTCTTATTTTGGTAGCGTATAGGTGACGTTGTTAGTATTAGATGCGGCGTCGAGTATTCTTGTACCTCCTTACACTACTCGATTTTATTTGGTTTAAGTTGTTTGCTTGCCTCTGTGCAGGTTTTCTCTGTAATTTCGTCATCTTTACCCTGGTAATGAAGTATCCAGTTCACCAAAAAACATATATATATATATTATTGGTGCAGCTGCTCGACCACGTGGCACCAACAGTGTTTTAGTTCTTTACAAGCAACTTAGCCCGCGCGATGCCGCGGGTCTAAAACCATGTTAAACGTATAAAATATATTTACTTCTATATCAAAACATATTTACATCTTTATAATCAATTAAAAAAACAAAAGATACATGTTTGTACAATATATTACAACACTGAGGCTCATGTCTTTAGTTCTAGTGATTCATACTTCCTCAGCAAATCAACCATTTGTTCTTTACCAATGTCCAAGGCCTGTTATGGAGAAGGCAAATGGAGTATAAATGTCAATGGGGCTACCAACACGTAACTTAAATTTAGTTAAGAAAGTATAATAAATTTAAAAGCAAGAAATTAGAAGATAGCTAAATCATGTAGAAAGTCATAATAATAATCATAATTTAGACGAAACACATGAAACTGGAGTGGTCTTAAGCATTTATATCGAATTTAAAATAGAAGAAAATTCAATTAGGCTAGAATGGAAAATTTTAAGCTTTTAACATAATAAATTCACCAGCACATACTACTCATTCGATATGTGGTATGACATAACTCTAAAACTTATCCAAGTTTACACAATCCTACTTGGCACTCGTCAGTTTTCACCTATTACAAATGCAGAGCAGCACTACATTCCAAAGCTAATTTCAATAGCAAATACTACTCTCCAATGATTTTTCCGATCAAAGGAAAAGAAGTCTCCAATGATTAGGTGATGTGACTCAATTGACAAAGTCAAGCAGAGATCGCTACCTACCTATTCCAAAGCTAAAATTTCAAGCGAAAATCTATATAATGATTTGGTGAGATGATTCAAATGTGAGAACCAAGCAAAGAGCACTGAAAAATAAACCTCAGTAATCAAGCAACAAATTCATAAACCAAGGGATGCAGCTCTTAGGATGTACTCGGTTATCTTTTAGAATACATGACCTCCTACCTAAAGCTTATAATGTTATATCACCAACAGTCAAAGATAAGAACCAAAATAAGCACCATAATCCAAAACACATGATTTTATCAAGCAAAGAGAGGGAAACAATTTCACCATAACAAAATCAAAGGAACCAAGTTTCAGCCAACAACCAATCAAAATAACACCGCACAAACACCAAAAGTAGCACCAATTCCACACAAAAATGTAAACTTGTATGGAAATTACTACGACTTGAACAAAATTCAAGCTACCCATCAACAACTAACAGAAATACCAATGTTTCCAACAGAGAAAAAAAAATACTGCAAATAAAAAATCAACATATTGTATAGAAAGATAGCAACTTTACCTCCTCGAAGAACAATAATTGAAATTTCAACACTTGGATTTGTTGGGTGGTAGCAGTGGATTCAACTCAATATTCGACTGTTCATTCTTAGCTTTTCATGTCATTGTTAAGTCCTCTTTATCTTAATAAAGTTTATTTCCTGAAAAAAAAAAAAAGATTTTTAGTAATGGATTAAAACTAACATGTAATATAGAACTTCTGTGTTTCACTTTTTTATTGGTTCAAGGCTCGAGAAAGTATTTCATGAGCTGCAAAAAAAAAATAAAAAATGAATATAGTTGTTCTATATCATCCTATTGAAACCATTAAAATAGTTTTTACATTATGTGAAGCAAATTATATGAAAGTAAAATTCAATTGAAATGTCAATTAACGGAATATCTAAATTGTTCACATATTAAATCATGATATAAGCGGATGACCTTTTTACCACAACTTGATCCACACTGTTAGCAACTGAAACAATTTGATTCTTTATAAACAAAAGGAAAAGGAAAAGAGAAAGACAATCAGCATCTGAAATCAAACAATCAGAAACTTAATATGTGTTTTCCCCCTCCTCTTGACTTTCAACTCCCCCTGCATATTTTAAAAAAAATTACAGATTAAATTAAATAAAAACAATTAAATAAAATTAATCACAAATTTCTTTTGAGTAATCATCAAAGTCGAGAGTGTATATAGGTGAATTATGGACAATTTACTATGGCTTAGTCAAGTAAGGACCAATTGTAAAAAGTAACATGAAGTCAAAGTGTAATGAAAAAAAAAAGAAGATGAAATAAACATGGTAATATTATCACAAAAACAGCAGCAAGAGACCTTAATTAATTAAGGTGGCATATTTTAGTGACCAAAGGAAAGCTAACAATTAACAAAGCATGGATTTATTTGAGAAAAAAACACAGGATGCAATAGCATTATCTCTTTCCAAAAGAATATAAAAATACTACCAGGGATTCAAAAATATTAGTTAACGCAAACAAACAGCAACAAAAGCCATTAGACATAAGATAAAGTACCAAAAACTTAATCCAAGAAAAAACAATCATTTACCTCTACAGCTTTAACCATGTGACGGGGGAACTTCCTCTTTCCCATTTAAATGGTGGATTGAATACCAAACATGCTTCTTTCCAAAGAGAAGTGCCTGATGAAGATGAAAAAAAAATATAATTCAGATTACATCAAAAGAAGTAATAAAGTGGATAAGAATGGCAAAGCATGAAAATTGAACACGATGAATTATTGACACGGTTAAATTTTCTATCTTCAACTCTCCGACTAATTTGATATAGCACAACAATTAACCGTTTGAAAGAATTGTGTAAAACATTATTGATTTTATGAATTTGGTAGACATAAAATATCTCTTTGCTTCAGTAGTTGAAAAGAGAAATGGAGAAAGCGTGAATGTGTATATAAAAAGTTGAACCTTATGGGAGACGAAAAAATAACTTTACAGCTAGCAAACTGATAGGAGCATATTTATGCGACTTAATTAGCTTGTTTCCTTGCATTTACGTTGCTAGTACTTGGTAATTTTAGTATTTTAAGCTATTTTCGTGCAATTTCAGGTTCTAAGGACAAAGTATGCAAAAAGATGCATTGTGGAGCCTTTTGGAGCAGTTTTGGGCATGAATTGAATAGCTTATGCTTGGAGTAATATTGATTGACGAAATTGAAGGCCTAAAGGATGTTAGAAGTCAGTTTGGAAGCTTAGAAGACACAATTTCAGCACCTCCTACAAAGGTGGCACCTTGTCCCCTTTGTGTTTCCTCCTTGTCTCCTCTTGTGCAACAATTTCCCTTGCCATGTTTCCCTAATTTCTGAACCAAAAACACCTTTCCCTTTCTCCCTTGTCCCTTACCGCACCATACATCCTCTTTCCCTTTTAATTTCTGACCTTAAGTACCTTTCCTATATTGTGCCACATCTTTGTTACCTATTTCTCTTTAATTTCTGATTCTTTCTTACCTATTCTGACCCAAAATTACATTCCCTTTTGTTTCAATTCTTGCTGCACAAGGGGAGAGGATTCTTACCTATTTTGTGCCTCAAAACACATTCCTAAATCTGTCCTACACTCTCTTCCGAATTTCCTTTCCTATTCTCTTTAATTTCTGCACCTTTCTTGCCTATTTCCCATTGATTTATGATTCCAAATTTAATAAATTCGTAGCCCTTCCTTTCCCTATAAATAAGACCCATTTCTGACCATTCTAAGCACTCCACCCTTCACCATAACCAACCTATATCCATCCACAACAATTCATTCACTCCCATTCACGAAGAAACCATCCAACCTCCCTTTGCCGTGCCCATTCTTCACGAATCTCCATAACTTCTGACCCTAAACACAATCCATACAGTCACCCACTTGTGTGTTACAGCAAGAAGGAAGAAGGAAGGATCCTTGGATGTCCGAGCTTCATTGTTGGTGCATTCTAGGTGTAATTCGTTTTATGATTTCAATGTGTAATTTCTTTCCCTTTCGTTTTGCTATGAACATGAGTGGCTAAAACCCCTATTGGTTAGGGGTGATTTCAAAGCCATGACTATGTGTGCAATTTGATTTGATAAATTTCAGTTATGAATTCTTGAATCGTGAATACAATTGGCTTAACTATTTGATTAATAACTTATTTGTGTTTGTTAATTAGGGGTCGACACTTAATTGGCATGCATAAATCTGATGCTAGAGTATAAGGATGTTTCACATAATCGTTACAAACTTATATTCAAATGTAGTGAAGGTTGCTAGTCACAATCGTGTTAAGTTCAATTCCTAGCATGAGTGACATGATGTCATAGTTGCAAGTGCTTTGTCATTGCTTATGGTTTTCATTGAACGTAATGATCTTTGATCGTATCTCTATTATGATGTCATGTAGGGGACCTTTGAAGAATGCTTTGGGTTGTCGAATGATGCCATCCAATCCAATAATACAAGGGAAATTTGAGAGTTAGCTAGTGATGTCACGGTTAATTTGGGGCAATGTCGTTCATAATTCTATGAAGGAATAACTGGAAATCGAGTCGTTTGAATACGTGTCATGTGTGGAGAAAGAGCCTCTAACTAATCCATCATCCATTTAAACTTCCAATTCGTCTTACAATCTGTTTTAATTACAAAGTTTTTGTTTTGTTTTCAATTTCGTCAAAACCAATCTCTCCTTTATTTTGAAGGCCTAGATTAGTTAGAAAGTGTTTTGGTTTGTGTTTTTAAATGTTTGGATACAAGTTATAACCCAATTTCGTTCAGATTTGTGTTAGAGTTCAAAACTGCCCAGAAAGTGTTTTTAAGGCAGTTTTGAGTCTTTTGGTTGCTATTTTGAGTCTTTTGGTTTGTTTTAGTGTTTTAAATTTTAGTTTTGCATTCTTTGAGTCTAATTTAGTGTTTTAAACTTTGTTTTTACGTTTTTAAGTCAGTTTTCAAGTGTTTAGCAATCCCTCCTAATCCCCGGTTTAGAACGATCCCTACTTACATACTTTGCTACAATTGGTAAAAAGAGGGTTTAATTTGTGTGCTTATATATTTCGCATCACAAACTATTAGAAATCCTATTTTCAAACTCACTTACATTATCAACAATGCCAACCTTTGCCTCCTCTCTCCCTTTGTGTTGGGATGTATAATTTTGTCTTAAATAAAACCCTGTAAGAAAGGGAAAGTAGAAGAAAGTTTAGGGAAGTTAAAATGAAAGATACAATATGGACAAAACATAACTATTAGTAATAATAACCAATTTAATCAAACATAAATAAAATGGTATGGTATAGTTTTATTCTTTTTTCATACAGTTCTGAGGTTCGAGTCTTATGAAATGGCGAGTTTGATACAAATTATTAATGATGGAATGGCTAGTTTTATTCTCTTTCATAAAAATCACATTCAAAACTAAAATTCAATACCAAAAACTGATAAGCTCATATTTATATATATTTTACATAAAATTCACTTGTCTTTTCTTAGTTAGTTCCTTATATTTTTGAGCTATTTACTATGTTTTTGTGTTTTGTGTGATTTATCAAGCAAAGAAAATAAAAGTAGCACAAGTGAGATATTAAGTAAGAAATTCGTCAAAACTGCCTGTGCAGATTCGCTGACTTTGGAAGCATGTTACGAACAGCTCAGAATGAATGAGAAAATGAGCCTTATATGCTTGGAAAGCTACGAATGTCTACTTTCTGGAGCAATTCACAGATTGTTAATATCATGTTTCTAGAAGAAGTTATGGGCATTGTAACACTGAAGGGTTCAGAAAAGAGCTAAGCAGATTTGGCTAATAAAATTAGAAAGTAAAGGCACTTGTTTGGTGTTTTGTTTTGTCATCAACACTCAGCAGCAAATGGGGTTATGATTGCACTCATTTGGCTTTGGAGCAAGTGGAAATGCACAGCTAGAAAGAGAAGGCATGGCACATGCAAAAGAGAAACATGAACAACTACACACATGCAAACTACACAACATGGAGGGCTTGGCATGGGCAGAAAATGGGTGGATTGTTGGCTGAAATAATGAAGAACATGTGTGTGCAAATGCAAAGGAAACACACACACATGGGCTAAGGAAAGACACACACATGGGCAAAAAATGGGTTGATTTGTGGCTGAAATGATGGAGGTCATGTGTGTGCAAATGTAAAGGGAAACATGGACATCACACACCCATACAAACTGCACTTGCAAGGAATTGAAGTGGTCCTCTCCTTAGCCTATAAATACATCCACCATTTCCCTTCCTAAGAACAATCTTGATCCATAAAAAAAGAGCTACATTCACAAACACAAATACCATCTTCATCCATTCATTCCCACATATCCATACACATCCTAGACATTTGTGCTACAACAAGGTGGTGAAAACAAAGGTCCTTGGCGTTTCAAGCTTGGAAGATTTGAGCGTTTTAGGTGTACTTCATTCTTTCTTTTAATGTCTACTTTGTTATTTTCTGATTTTGTTGCAACTATGAGTGGCTAAACCCCTATTTAGTTAGGGGGTATTTCAAAACCATGACTATATTTGCAATATGAATTGATTACTTTTAGTTGTGATTTCATAAATTGTGAATGCAATTTACTTAAACTGTTTGATTCAAAACTTATTCTTGTATGTTAATTGAGGGTCAACACTTAGTTGGCATGCATGAATTTGATGCTAAAATATAAGAGAGTTTCACCTAATCGTTATGAACTTATATTCACAAGTAGTGAAGGTTGCTAGTCACAATCGCGTTAAGTAAATTCTTGGCATAAGTTTCATGCAATTCATAGTTACAAGTGCCTCGTCAATGCTTATGATTTTCATAGAACTTAATGATCTTTGCTCGTATCTCTATTATGCAATTCATGTAGGGAACTTGTGAGGAATAATTTGGGTTGTCGCATGCAATCATCCAATTCAATGAAAATAAGAAAATCTGAGGGTTAATTAGTGCAATTCACAGTTAATCTGGGGCATTGAGATTTATGGTTTATCGAAAGAACAACTGAACATCAATTTGTATGCAAGTGTGTCATGTGTGGAGAATGACTCTCTAGCTAGCCCATCAACCATCCAATTTACCAAATTTGTGCAACTTTCTGTTTGAGTTTTTAGTTTACTTGTTTTGCTTCAAATTAGATAAAAACAAAACCCCCTTTTACTTTCTTGTTTCAAAGTGTTAAATTCCTGTTTTGTTTGTGTTTTTGAGTGTTTTGATTCAAGTCAAAACACTAAATTCGTCCAAAGTTGTTTTAGAGTCCAAATCTGCCCAATTTGTGTTTTTAGGCAGTTTTGAGTGTTATTAAGTTGTTTTGAGTTCTTTGAGTTTGTTTTGAATTCTTTGAGTCTAGTTTAGTGTTTTTAACTTTCTTTATATATTTTTAAGTCAGTTTAGAGGTTATTAGCAAGCCCTCCTAATCCCCGGTTTAGAATGATCCCTACTTGCATTTACACTACAATTTGACAACAAAAGGGTTTAATTTGTGTGTTAAGTTAATTTTCGCATCAAATTTTTGGCGCCGTTGCCGGGGATTAGCAATTTTGCTAATCCCTTGTTATTTCTTTTTGTTTATTTTCATGTGTTTTTGTTCCTAGTTAATGACTTTACTTGTTTTCTTGTTTTAGGTGGTTTATGACTCGAAGTTCTCAACCTATTCATAAGCACATCCGTGACTTTGACGACGATTTTGAACGAACTTTGAGACGAGCAAGGAATCAACAAGAACCCCAACCATCTCAATATGCACCAGATATTGGAGAAGACAAAGTGGAAAAGCAAGAGGAGCCCACGACATAAGTTGTAGAGGAAGATCCCAACATGGCAGCAGACAATCGAACAATCATGGAGCTTTCTGCTTCATGATTGGACAATGTCGCTCCCCTATGCATCCAATACCCCATGGCTGCCCTA